TCATTTTTTTTTTTACAATACTTAACGATACTATTAATGATCGATTTACTAAAAAGTACCAACGAATCGTTTAAAAGGCGAATAAGAAATAACTAATAATTCATTTTTATAACGTGAATTTAAACATAAAATTGAGAAATTAAAAGTTTTCAGCATTAGGCATTTTTTCTCATCTTTTCTGAAGAAACTATGATAATACCCCAAAAAAGGATAGAAAAATTCTCAAAGAATTAAAACAAATAGAGTAGAATCTACGAATAAAATGAAGTAAATATTTTTTTACTTTATTTATCAAATAAAATACTGTAAAATATATAAATAAAACAGAGCGTGTATTTGTGTACAAAGTCATAGTAGTTGCTTTTATAAAAAAAGCAAGTGTCGTAAGCTACGCATGTAAAATGTAAGTAAAAAGAAATATCTGCTAGATAATAAAATATATTTTTTTCTTACTCCGTAATGTGTTGCGCGAAAATTATAAATATATTACGTACATGTACATGTATAAAAGATTTGTGAATTATAATTCTGTAAACGCATTCTATATGGCAATGTTATAAATATCTATTATCACATCGATGAGAAAAGATGCTTTGTAAAGCGAAAGATTATTCATGAGAAACATAGGATGAACTCTTGCTTTTCTTCTATCTATCGCTGTTAAAAGCATGCAATTTCCTTCGTATATTTATATATGATACGTTAACAGAGTTAGCATAAAATTTCATACAGAGTCATGCATCAAATTAATAGAATATAAAAATGAGAAAATGGCTCAATAATTTCAAATCAATAATGACAAATCGAAGGGCTACGAGCCAGAAACTTAAACTTTAATATTCAACGAAAATTACAAACATATGTTTCGACACCGATCGGGTCATTATCAATGTAACAAATATAAATATAAAAACAATTTTTAAACGAGTAACATATTTTGACGGTTATAAAAATTGAAATGATTGGAAATGTCTATTCGTCGATGATACGTAGTATTCAAGTGTCTTGTCTCATGTACAACGTTAATTATTCGAAAATATTAGTCATGTGTGCGGAATTTTCTGTTTAATTCATATCTGATGAAAATCGTAGTTCTGTTAATGACATAAAATTGTAATTAAAATTAAAAAATATAAAATTTTTCTCTCGAATTACCAAAAAACAAATTAAGTATAATGTTATAAATTAATCCTAATTAAGATATAAAAATATACTGAATCCTCATTAAAAAAATGGTTACGATTACATAATCAATTAATAAAAGAAGACGACACAGATAAAAATACGTTTTTTTAATGAGGACTTAGCATAGCTCAATCTTGACTTACATTTAGGTAAATATTTTTTTACTTTATGTATAATCTTGCATTTCGTTTGTGACCGAAACACAACAATATATAGTTTTTTATATATATATCAGTGTATTTTTATATCTTAATTAGGATTAATTTATAATATTATACTTAATTTGCCTTTTGGTAATTCGAGAGAAAAATTTTATATTTTTTAATTTTAATTACAATTTTATGTCATTAACAGAACTACGATTTCCATCAGATATGAATTAAACATAAAATTCCGTACATGACTAATATTTTCGGATAATTAACGTTGTACATGAGACAAGACACAAGAACACTATGTATCATCGACGAATAGACAGCATTTCCAATCATTTCAATTTTTATAACCGTCAAAGTATGTTACTCAGTTAAAAATTGTTTTTATATTTATATTTGTTACATTGATAATGACCCGATCGGTGTCGAAACATATGTTTGTAATTTTCGTTGAATATTAAAGTTTAAGTTTCTGGCTTGTAGCCCTCCGATTTGTCATTATTGATTTCAAATTAATAGAGTTCATTTTAGTGCCATTACGACCAGACAGAAAAAATAAAGTTATTCCCGGTCCATAATATGCAGATTAAAGATTCGAGTGAATGGAAATTAATAATATTGTACGGATATCAAACTTATGTATCAAAGTTTTTAGGAAGAATGATTAAAAAATAATGTATGCTATAATAACTTAACTTTGATTAACTTTATAAAATTAAACTTAACTTTTTAAAATATTGAAGTTCACTCACACACTCTCTCTCTCTTTCTCTCTCTAGTGTCTTTAAAACGCATATTGATATAATAGCCGAAAAAGGCATCCGTCGTCGAACAATGCACGTATCTAATTTAGAAACATGAGGAAGTATGCCGAGTAACGTTAATAACGAGTAAGAGTGTCGAGTTACGACGGGGAGGGGGTTATGTTGCTGCTTCCAGGTACGCGAAGGGTGGATGGGCGGAGGGCCTTCGTCAGCAATGAGCGCGATCACGTATATAGCGGTCGTACAAGCGCGCTAACCAGCCAGCAAGGCAAGATGGGATATCAGCAAGCGGCGAAACAAAGTTTATTTTGAATCAGTCAGGGCAACCCTGGAGTCGTACTATGCCGGCGAATAGCACCACGAGTACCGCAGCAACCGTGCGAGTGTCGGTGCAGATTCGACGCTCCTACCGCAGAGCTCCGGTTCTCAACATCGGCTCAACGGACACAGACAGACAGAAGCTGGGAGCTAGCGCGACTCAGAGAGGTGAGCCGGGAAAAGGAGACAAACAGAGAAGCAAAGCGAAACGATAGACGAGACGGGAACGAGGAGAGGATAGGTACGCGAAGGATGGTCTAGCCGACGATGGTGATTGTTACGGCGACGACGTTTCAGTTAGCTGAAACGTCGTTTCCTTTGTCGCGTCTGTGTGAGGACGGAACTTGTCCTCGATGAGGTGTACAGACGTGCACGCGTACACCAGCGGACGTCGCGCGTAACCACTGCAACGTAGCTGTACATACAAACAGCCGCACACGTGCGCGATCGGCGCTACACACGAGGGATGGGGAGGGATACACAAACAACCGGGTTCCTGGGGCTTCCTTGGTATATGCTATACGCTATTTCACGAAGGGTGGTTGGATGTATCTGCTTGCCAGCGCGCGGTATTCGTCGTGCAAACTTCGAGCTCTTGCATGGGCGCTCCTTCTAAGACTTCGCCCGTAGTCGGGCTATATAGCGGTAGAGAAGCGTAGAGATCTCGATTCGGGTTAATTGTGGGCTTCGTTCTATAGACTCGGTACTCGGGCAATGAATTTTAGGAGGCGCGCGCACGATATCGCCTCGCCTCGCCTCGCCGCGCCACGATGCGACGCCGAGGAGGCGAGAGGTCGGACGGGGGCCGAGCACCGACAAGCGGATATATTTATGCGCGCTCGTGGAAATTCTTCGATCTGATTGCGAGCGCAATTGCCAGGGGAATGAAAACGTCTGCATTTACTGCAGTACTGTTTTCAACGCGCTACAAATAAGACCGCAGTTGTTCGTAGCAGCGGTGTATATTTTACTTTTGAAAAGCAAATATATTTAAGTAATTAAAAGAGCACAACTTTAAAAAGTAAAAGATTTTAAAGTTTTAACTTTAAAAAGTTAAAGATTTTATAATTGAGGGGATTGGCGGAATAAAGACTTAATTATAAAATCTTGATTTTGATAAAAATTGAAATAACTTGTCACTTTCTTATTATACCACAAATGGGAACAGTATTAAATATATATTTATATAATGACTTTGAGAAGTTATAATATTTCTCTATTATGATCAATATTTAAAAAGTTATTTGCAATTTAAAAAATGCACTTAGTCTCTTTTTCCGAATATTAATCATAATATTGTAAGAATCAACAGAGACAAAAGACTATGAACTGCAGAATTATTTTTTATTTTCACATTCTTCTAGAATGAATATGCAATACATTTTTCTTTTACTTGTACAAAATAAATTAGTGCTCAATCATCATCTGATGAGTTTTCGTAAGATTTTTTAACATGTTGTAATGAAAACACATTATTGTCGTTCAGTCTCTGGTAAAAATCTCATTAATGATTTTAAATCATTTATTACCTTTTCCATAGATTATATCATTTTCATCATCACAGGACAATCGAAACACGTATTTAACTAATATAAGCAATATTAATTCCTTGTTTATTTGCGCTAATCTTCGGAAAAAGGGGCTAAGTAGAATTGTGCCTTTATTCCGCTAATCCCCTCAATTAAAGACTTGTGAGAATAGTATCGAAACATGCAATGTTTTTCGCATTTTCTGTATTCGAGTTATACATATTAAGTTAATTAAATTAAATTAAATTATGACATGTGGAAATAAAATTAATTTCATTTGAAAAAATTATTACGTAATTTTTAATTTTGATAAATTATATCCAATTTTCTTATTTACAAAAGAAACTTAAAACGAAAATGTCAGTTCGAAAATTATTCTGCTTGCCTTTCACATCGTATTTGTAATTTTTTCCAATTTACATTCGCTCGTATGTGCAAGACTGCGTTTATATTTTAATTCTGTGGATTGAAAAAAATATTGAATATCTATATTAAGTTGTTAACAGCATACTATAGAATAAAAATATCTGTATAAGTGAGGTTCGGATTGTTCTCTATTGATAGAAAGATAGAGTTCATGCGATGTGGTTTATTATGCTTGGTAAAAATAAGTATTTACATTAACTAAAATGTAATGCCCAGAAACAATAATATAATGACTTGTAAAAGATCTTAAACTAAAGATACTTAAATAGACTTTAAAATTCCAGATTTAACAAAAATATTTCTATTTATCTTATTTCTAACTTATATATAAAGAAGTTGTATCTTCTCTTTAGAGATATCAGAAAACTATAGTAAATCGGATTTTTATCTTACTTACACCCATTTACAAAAACGAGCTTCGCAAAAATTAACTGTTTTTTAAAAACTTGATCGTCTACATTATACTTCATTCGCGAATAGAATTTCCATAAAATTACCCATTAGCGCATTTGACACATTCATTTATAAAGTAATACTTATCACGTTCTAAGTATATAAATTTAAAAGGAAATTTAAAAACAAAATGTTATAACACGATTTGTAAAAATTGTAATGCACTCTGCTTCTGCATTCAAATTAAAACTTAACGTTCACGATTATCGCCATAAATTATTAATTCTACAACTTTCAAAAACGCACTCCGTCCTAGAATATCGATAATATCGATTTCCATGCGAAATTATTAGCACATTCGACATCGATCCCTACAATTTGGCACGATTTAGGGTACCAGGCAGGAATCGGCGAATCCGCTTGCATGAGAAATAAGGGTCGTGGTTCCACGCGATGCCTTCCGTGCAGTTTCACGCCGATACGCATTACTTCGCGAAGATTTGTAAGCGGTCGCGAGCGTGCCAAATGCTGTGGTGTGCGCCGCGGGAAGAGAACGAAAGCGGAAAGAAAGGAAGAAGAGACGTTCTCTTCGAGGGTGGAATAGGGGTTAATACGGACGATTTCTGTGTTCAGGATGAAGGAACAAGCTGCACGTATATAGCCAGCTTATAGACGCGCGGAATCGTCCACGGAGTTTATCGTCCGTTTAATAAAGAGGAGATAGGAGGTGGGAGAATGAAAAACGTAACGTTCGTGCCATCCTTTCCAATGCGTCGGCTTCTCCTCTATCTCCTTCGATAAATCGATCTCGAAACGAAACCTTTCTCCAGATTATATGCCCGATGACATCGTATATCTGCAGATATTATAGCTTTAACACAAGAATTCAGTGGCGCGATACCATCAGAGATCGGTAAAACGCACCATCCAGTTAAAGTATTACGTTTTCAAAGTCCAAGGAGGGATATTGTTAAAACAATGACGAGAATGCTTATCGTATAAAAAAAATACAGAAGATAGAACGGAAAAAAATACGGAAGATAGAACAGACCGATCGAAGTATATTTTTCTTTGGCACGGCATCATTAAAGAGCGAGTAACAAACTCGTTAGAGAACAAATCGTACGCGGTCGGAGGCTAACAATCAATGTAAGTACATAACTACTCGTGTACGGCCGAGTTCTTCCGCGGCAGCAGAAATAGCAACAGCAGCAACTACGCTGTTCTTGTAGTTTTACACGTGAAACGTGAAAAACGAGAACTTAGCAAAAAAAAAGGGGGGAAAAAAAGGAGAGCCAGTAGTCTCTGATCCCGCGTGCGCGTCCAGAGCCCTTCGCTTCGAAATTCATGACATTGATCCGCCTACGCGACCGAGCCCGGGAGCTTTTGAACAATGGACTCGAATCACCATCCTTGGCGAGTGTAACGGAAAGATATTCGAGTGAGCATCGAGTGCGTTGTTGCTGGAGTACAGGGAGGGTACGATTTCGCGGAACCGGAGAGTCCGCGCTCTTTTTTCCTTTCGGTATGCGAAAACTTTTCGCATCGCTTTATCCGTGTCTCTTCCTTTGTGCGATCTCTACGGTTTGGCTCTCTTCTCGTCAGTGGTAGCGGAAGAGATGTCTCTCATTCTCTCACTCTTTTCTCTCTCTCTCTCTCTCATTCTTTCTCTCACAACAAGGATCGCAAATCTTTCAGAAGCGGGCTGTACAAGCACTTGTAGATGTATACGTGCAATCGACTTCAAAGTCCTATCCTTTCCCTTCTTTTCTCGCTGTCACTCTACTCTTGGACAAATCCCTTTTGTTCATTATTCGTCAAATGTCAAATTGAGCTTCGTAGCAGTAATCGGACGCGACTAATTGGCTATGCTTCTCTGATTCTCCGTGCTGTGAAGCGCGTGGCAGTGAATCTCCTAACAGCGGATTTGGCTACGGTGATCCTTTATCCAATTACCTATCTCTCCATCGGTCACGATCCAGTCCAGGGATCGTTAGCTGGTATCGTCGCCATCTCTTATCCAGTTCGTATACCACCGAAAAGCGAGAAACAATCCATGCGTACCGGCGCGTCTTACAAAATAACGAACTATACAAAAGACGCGGTGGTAAAATATGTAACGATAACACAATCGACGATCTCACGGTCGACAAATGTATCACATTAAACGCGTCGTGTCCTTTTGATTCTAATTATCATGGCAATGCTCAAATAGTTCACCAGCTAAAAATTAACATCGCGCTGTTATTAACGATTGCACACGGGGAACATGCAGAATTTACGATCCCGACCCGTTCAGAGAAAAAGAAGAATATTTAAACCACTAGAAAGAAAAAAAAAAGAAAACTTAATGGTCATATATGATTTAACAATATTATTTGTTTCTGCGCCGTCCATACGCGGTCCTTAAACCCTGCCTCCATCGTCTTTTCATCCAGCCCTTTCTCCCGCTGACTAGTGTGCTATTTATCATGCGACGCCCGTGAGCTCCCTTTTCGTGGTCTCAGGCGTGCCGTGACTATCTCAGAAGCAGATGGAGCGTGCCCAGGCAGAGTATTGTCACAAACGTCATCGTGTGCGTGCCGCTTCCGTTTTCTGAGGTTACTGCAACACATGTTAAAACGAAAAGTTACCATTTCTCGTTATTCTGTCAAACGGCAAATGTAGTTTCTGGAATGTTAATTGTTACATTGTCTGGCATTGATTTTGTCTTTGACTTGCGAAGTATCGTTTCCATAGATTTTTTGATGCTAAAAACGATACTGTCTAGAACATCACGTCATATTTTCCAGAAAACTGAAGTAATATAAGCAAAAAATGACAATTTTGGTCATATTTAAACGTATTGCCGCGCGCGCGGGTAAGAAAATTTTATTTTTTAATTTTGTCTCTACGCTATTTTAAAGTGCTATTTTTTTACTTTCGATTTTTTTAAGGCCAAGTTACGTAGGTTTGAAGCGAGGTACATTATATATAGTTAGTAAATGTCATATCTTAGTTCACGCGCAATTTTATTTTTGTAGTTACATAATTTATGTTTCTTGGAAAGTAGTAAAAATTACTTGAAAGTAATAAAAAAGTTAAATAAAAAAGAATATATAAAAAGGAGGATAACAAAGATCGCCTCCAAAACGTGGCTGAATGATCTTCTATAGCAGTTGTCACGCTAATTTTGGAATATCAAATTCAAGAAACATAAATCATGTAACTACAAAAATAAAAGTACGCGCGAACTAAGAATGACACTAACTATACATGATAGCTTGTATTTAGAACGTGTAAAATCGTTTTATCGATAAATATGTGCTTTTATGTCTGAAATTCTATAGTATACGTGAACTATATGCTAAATACGCGTTAATATCATAAAAGCGCGTTTTGAATATGGGTTATGCTTAACTTTAAACGCAACTTAGTCTTAAAAAATTGTACAGAAACTAAAAAAATTTATTTTAAAGATAAAACATAGACTTTAAGATAGTGAAGACGAAATTAAAAAATTAAATTAAATTCTTTTATTCGCAATGCTGTTCTAAATATGATCGAAATCATTATTTTTTTGGCCCACGTTACTCCATTTTTCTAAAAATGTGATGTAATAGAATTTTTTTAAACGCGGATTCAAATTAAGCGATCAAAAATCTTCAAGAAATAACATTCTACAAGCCAAAGACAAAAAAAGTCAAATTTTAACAATATTATATGATAATTTTTAACGGAGTGCAAATAAATAAATATACTAAAGTAAAAGAATTACCTAATGCACATAGCGATTTTATATCAAAAAATATTTATATAACGTAAATAGATGCACAAATTTTTAAAATATATACTGAAATTTTGTTGTGATATTGCAGCTTTTTCAAATATTGCATAAATATTAGAAATTATATTCTATTTTATTGATACTAATATTTAAAAAAAATTATAAGTTGTGCAATGTAGTTGCACTAAAAAAATAGTAAAATTTTTTAACATCATAGCATTTAGAAATAAAATAGTATCTTGAAATAAAAGTTAAAAAAGCTAATTCAATAGATTATCGCTTTTTAATACTTTCCCAGAATTCGCTTATAACAATCTAAAATTAAAACTATGCATTGAAAATAGATTATGATTTTTATTATTCATCATATTGTAAAATAAAAAAAAAAAGCCAATAAAAAAGGAAAAGCTTTTCCAAGTTGAACATTTCACCGCAAACTCTATGATGCATTCGAATTTCTAGTATTTTTGCAAAATTTATATGCGCTACGTATTCTCTATTTGCACGGAACGATGGCACGTGTGTCGTCCTCGTTGAAACTTAATTCTTTTTTTTTGCGAAAAGCTTTTTTTTGTGATAAATGATTACACGAAAATTCACACGAAGTATATTGTAAAAAATGAGATAGATGAGTTGAATGATGGTGCCTGGCATGGCCGGATTATTGATTGGTAAACACGGTCTGCATTACATTTCGTATCATTAAAACGTCATCATTATGCTGCGCGACATTCAAAATCGACAAGCCTACAATCAATAACAGCGATGATAATGACACATGTCTTCGTTCGACGAAATGCGCAGGAAATCTGATGAATAGATATCAAATTCATCGAGAAATGGGTCGCCGATAATCAGTTGATTTTAGTGCGGTTTGTACATTATTAGTATCATGAATACAATACGTGAAAACTAAGCGCACGTAAACATCCGACATTCTAATGTTGACACGTTGACAGATATGCCACGTGTGAATATTATTGTAATTCAAAGTATATTCTACCGTATCAGTATATTTTACATGATAATCTAACAATACCATACTTAATTTACTTGCTTTCCATATATGACATAATTAATGATAGATGATTTGTTTAAAAAATTCTAGGATATAAATAAATGTGATTTAAAATGTGATTGAAAAAAATAAATTGGAAAAAGAAAAATATAACAAAATTTTGCCAAAATTCAAATTATTATTATACTTGTAATACTAACAAATTTATATATTCCAAGTTTTGCAATAAAATTTAAGATTTTTAACAATAATCAAAGATCGAGAATCAAATTCTATTACCTATAAATTTGCAAGGGATTTAAATAAATGTAATTTTTGTTTCACATTATTCTCTAGGAATAATTTACAAGATTTAGAAAAGGTCGTGCTTTTGTTCCTTCTTTAATTCGGTCAGATAAAAGATTATATTTAAAATAGATTGAAATGATATACACACACATATATATATATATAAAAGGATTATTGGGGAGCGATTTCGCGTAAAACGACATTTTTCTTCCTGTTCGAGATTAAATCTCTCTGACGGGGCGCGGCGTGTCAACTGTTGAAATCCCTTTTGGAATGGAAACTCTGACGATGAGGGGAGAGGGTGGTGCCATTAAGTGGAACGTCAGTGGATTTTCCTCCGCGGGGCATTGTTCCTTCTGTCGGGGGGATAGAAAAGTCAATTTCCTAAAAACAATTCTGTCGACCACGGCCCAGGGAGTAATACGTACGAATCAAGCGACCAGCCGCCCGCGGAAAACCGGGTGTGAACGAAATGAAATTACTACGGGTGCAGAAGAGAACGAATTTCTGTAACGGCGGCAACGTTGGTGCGCGGCGAGCGGTAAAAGGGACTAAAGTGGAATATAGCTCCGACAGGTTTGAAAATTGAGAAGAGCCAAAATCCTTTGGTCGCTTATCAATCGTCGAGGTTTACGTTCCCTCAGTCTGCTCCTATCACATTTATCTCAAAATGTATGAGAGTTTTACCAACGATGCGATGGCAAAATCACGAACGCTCTGGATCCCAGATAGCGATCGTTGATATTACTTTTGAAATATTCCACTCGAACATAAAAAAAAAACATATAATCTGATCATCTCTGACGGTTGATATCGCATGCAATGCCATACGCAATACTTTTTTATGCATATTTAAATATCCTACGAAATACTGATGTACCAGAATATTCCGTGGATACCGAAATGTTTCTCTCAACTGCAGGCTGTTTGACCATTTTAAAGTTGATTTTCCATTCCGTTCCAAGTTTGCTAAAGAATTTATAATCGGGAAAATCCGATGTGAAGACGTAATACACACTTTCTCTTTGTATTAATTTTGCGCGAATATGCATAAAATAAATGTAAAATAGACTTATACAGAATTGCTCCAGATATACATACCTGTAATATTTATACAAAGTATGCGTGCGGAATAAATTGTCCGACGGCGAAGGAAACAGAGAGGGAAAACTTTCGCAAAACCTCGCAAACATGAAGTCAGATTTTTCACATGTATGCATGTATAAATGCGACGTGTGCGTAAGAACAGCTTATGAGGTATCATTCATGGATTTTCGGTAAGAGCTTTTTGAGAGGGATTGAAAGACTCGTTCGCCACGACCTGAAAAGTCTAGGCCGCGACGAAATTCAGAGGGTTCTTGATGTAAAAACTCTTCAGGCAACTTCATGATCTGGTGCTCGTAAGTTCGTGACACGAGTCCTCAGAAAGTTACGGGGAAACGATTTACTTAGAGTACAACTGAGGTGCGTTTCAGTTGTATACATACTTTATCACTCGTATACATGAAAATCTCAGCGCAATGCAGTGGCAAAATCGTCAAAAGTTATTCTTGTAAGAAGCATACGGTAACGACCGAAATTTCTTCTCGTTATATTGTGAGCTCGCTCGTTATATCATATCCGCTTGTCCAATTATAAAATGTATTAGTACAATAATAATAAACATACACGTTAAAATGTATCCTTAAATTATTCGTTTTTCAAGATAATGAATAATGTACTTAATTAAATTAAATCCTTTTACATTATTAATTTATATGATTAGTGTAAGTAAAATTAAAATTCTACATTAATTGTTATAAAAAAATAATATATAGAGAGCATCGTGCAGTAGAATAAAGAATGATATATGTATAATAACATTACATATACAAATATAGAAAATACAAAATTATTACATTATTTATATAGAAAACATTTTGATACTTCCCGAGTGGAAATGCATCTGGGCGTTTCAATGTTCTATATTGGGCTCCGTGAGAAAGATCCGTGGCACGTCAGTATCGAAAATCTAGGCGGATGCTACCTAATATTTCATCTAGGCACTAGACAGAATTATGCTGGGGTGCCAAGATGGGAAAACTAGCCTAGGGCTAGCTAGCGCCCAGTGAGGCAGGATCATAATAACCATGGTAGAAGTATAAGGGTATGCTTTTGCGCATGGCCACGCCCACTGTCCAATCAAAATATGTAGCAAGCATACGTTATCATTAAGCGCGAAATTCGAACGTATGCTTTTAAGCATGCCTTTCAATCCGAAAAATTTTCCGACTCCTTTCAATCCGATTCATTTTTTGTCTTATGATGATAATTTCCGCATTCTTTAATCGCACAATATTTTGAATGTAAAATCACTCGACTTTGCACTACAAAATTTATTTGTCGTGTGCTGCATATGTGTTGGCGACATGGCGACCATATTACATTGACACGAACCGCTTCGGATATAGCCGAAGGCTGGCCGAATGAACTGGCCGATATGCTTGATACATAGTCTACCACTAATTAAGCATACCCTTATACTTCTACCAT